ATTTATATCTCCATATATTTGTATTCTCTATTTTCTGTCTTGGCTTCTGTTTTCTAGCCACTTGTACATTTTATTCCATCTGAATTTTGATCACATGATCATGGCGATGCTGTAAAGGTCGCAACTGTGAAAAACGGTCATAAGTCACATTTTTCAATACACTCGTAACTTTTTGAATGGTCACTTAAACCAATGGTTGTAAGTTGAGGACTATCTGTATTCAATTTCTCCTTGCCAATCTTCTAGGAAAACCAGCGATGCTGTATCTTGAGGTTCACGAAAATGGTGAAGAACTGAAGACCTATTCTGTTCCATTCTGCACAAGAGGAGGGTGTGTTATAACTGAGATTGGAGCACATGGTGTTTCTATATTAGGTTTTATCTTCTGTTTTTGTGATTTGTCTTGGACTATTACAGTATTTCACTTTATGCTGACATTGTTAGTTACCCTCTGTGAACATGCAGTATAAATATATAAATAAATTCAATAATAACCTGTCATTCTAAGGCACATGTCCATCATTAAGATCAGAGGACAAAAAAACCCCACAAAACCTTATCTCTGATGAACCCCAAGAATTCACTGGAGCACCATTTGAAGCAACCAATGTAGTGCACATACATATTAATCCATATTAATTGGATGCTAATTCGGGGACCATAACACTTATTTTGTAACACTTAATGTGATCCAATAATGGCAGCAGCTCTACTGACCTGCAGCAAAAAGAAACTGGGCCAGGATGTACCAATGCTACTTCCTTTATAGCATAGTCAGATTCTTTCTTTTATAAGTTCATCCCCTCCATACCTAATGATCCTGTCATAAATTATAATTTCTTATAAACTGCAGCAATAAAAATGAAATCCCGCTGTTCCCTCCGCCCCTCTATTTTTAGAATGCTGCCTCTTCGGTGATGTGTTAAATTAAAACCCCAGGCATCAGGAAAGTATAGAAGTCTTTATTGTGAAGGCACTCCCAATTGTCAATGAATTTTCAAGTTCCTTTTGATCCACAGACTTCCCCATTGAAACAGCAATCTGCTCCCTTTCTGAAGAATACTTAGCCACTTAAGTGACAGCATTCTTTGTAGCTACTTTTTGGAACCAAAACCTGGAACGGTGTAATTCACTCTATGTATTAAAAAATAAGGGGAAACAATTGAATAGCTTCAATTCGCTGTGAAATATCAGGGGTGAAATTCAGCAGGTTCTGACAGGTTCTGGAGAACTGGTAGCAGAAATTTTGAGTAGTTTGGAGAACCGGCAAATACCACCTCTGGCTGGCCCCAGGAGTGGGATGGGAATTGGGGTTTTGCAATATCCTTCCCCCAGGAGTGGGGAGGAAATGGGGATTTTGCAGTATCCTTTCCCTGGAGTGGGGAGGGAATGAAGATTTTGCACTATCCTTCCTCTGCCATGCCCACCAAGCCAAGCCCACAGAACCGGTACTAAAAAAAATTGAATTTCATCACTGTGAAATATGCTAACATGACTCCAACAGAAGCCTCAATCCATTCTTGAATCTTTCAGGAAAGTGGATGGGTGAAAGAAGTTGAGGACCTGTTGAACACCAATTCAAATTAATGACCTTAGTAATACTGAAAGAACTTCCCTTGACAATAATTGATATAGATTTAGACTAGGATTAGGCTGGAATGAGGAATTTATTATGTTTATTATATTTATTATACTTATTATTGATTATCACACAATCAGCCAGATGTTCAGACTGGGTTTGGCATTTTTGCCTACTTATCGAATTCTTACCAAGGACTTGGGATAGGCAAAGCTGGATGTTTGACAGTGTTACAGATATCGTTGCAGGATGTTCCAAGTAAAGCCTTCTTCAGCAATTGACTGATGGCAAATTCGTCAATGGCAATGGTGTTCAAGTGATGCTCCGGTTGTTTTGGGATTGCACTCAAAGCGCCTATTACTATTGGTACCATCCCTGCTTGCCTTTGCCATAGTTGTTCTATTCTATTTGTAGGTTTTTGCATTTTGTTATCTTCTCCAGTTCTTTCTCTTCTGTTTTGCTGTCTCCAGACACTGCCACATCCACTATCTAGACTTCTTTGTCTTTCTTATCAACAACTCTTAAGTCCAGGGTGTTATGTGGCAGGTGCCTGTCTCTCTGAAAGCAATTTAACTTCTTCATTTTTATGACTTTTTCTATTTTATGATCCCACCAATTCTTGCTTACAGGCAAATAATATTCAAATGCATCATTGTTGCTATTTGTCAGGCTGCTGCTTGTAGTCAGTCTGTGTGATCTTCTTGCAGCAGCTTGCCAGGTGGTCCACTGTTTCTTCAGCTTCTTTGCATAGGCGGCACTTACTGTCTGTTGCTGTCTTCTCAATTTTGGCTTTGTATACATTTGTCCTTAAGGCTTGGGCTTGTGCAGCCAGAATTAATCCCTTGGTCTCTTTCTTTAACTTTCCTACTCTGGCCATTGCCAGATCTTGTTTTGCTACTGCTGTTGTTGTTAAACTCTTATGTTGATAATATGTTTTGTGGAGGAGGGAGTTGGTTTATTGTTATGTATCATCAGATTGTTTTCAACTCTTAGCAAATTGCGTAGGTCTCCTCCAGCATGGTCTGTTCCTAACTTGGTATTGCTAACCTGGTCCTTCAGCTCTTCCAACCATGCACTCATTGCCACCATAACTGAATCAATTCACCTTGCTGCAGGTCATCCTCTTCTTCTCTTCCCTTCCACCTTTCCCAGCATTAGAGTTCTTCCAAAGAGATAGCTCTTTGCATATTGTGTCCAAATTTTTGTTTAAGCTGGTTTATATTCTATTTTACTGATTTCCCCATACTATGCTTAGTTTTAAATACACACTAAGTAAAATGATCACTGCTTGTCAACATACAAGATTATATTTTTACCTCTAAC